TGCCAGTGAGGCTGCCTCTTTGGCTGGCCACCTGAAGCTTGGTAACCTCATTGCCATCTACGATGACAACCATATCTCCATCGGTAAGCAATCAAGCCTCTGGATTTTCTTTGCGCAGGTCTTACTAAACGAATGTTCTCATTTTACTAGACGGTGACACCAAGTGTGCTTTCACCGAGGATGTCATGAAGCGTTTCGAGTCCTACGGCTGGCACCACGTCTGGGTCAAGGACGGTGACAACGACCTTGAGGCCATTGAGAAGGCCATCCAGGAGTGCCGTGAGGTCAAGGACAAGCCCTCCGTCATTCGTCTTACCACCACCATCGGTTTCGGCTCCAAGCTGCAGGGTACCGGTGGCGTTCACGGTAACCCCCTGAAGGCTGACGATGCCGAGAGTGTCAAGGCCAAGTTCGGCTTCGACCCCAAGCAGAGCTTCGTCGTCCCCCAGCAGGTCTACGACCTCTACCACAAGACTGCTTCTCAGGGTGCTGCTAAGGAGCAAGAGTGGAACCAGCTCTTTGAGAAGTACGCCGCCGAGTACAAGGATGAGCACGCTGACCTCACTCGTCGTCTTGCTGGCAAGCTTCCTGAGGGTTGGGAGAAGAGCCTGCCCACCTACAAGCCCACCGACTCCGCTGTCGCCTCCCGTAAGCTCTCCGAGGCCGTCCTGGAGAAGGTCCACAGTGTCATCCCTGAGCTGCTTTCCGGCTCTGCTGATCTGACTGGCTCCAACAACACCCGCTGGAAGAACGCCGTCGACTTCCAGCCCCCTGAGTACAACATTGGTGACTGGTCCGGCCGCTATCTCCGCTACGGTGTCCGTGAGCACGCCATGGCTGCTATCATGAACGGTCTTGCCGCCTATGGTACCGTCATCCCCGCTGCCGGTACTTTCCTGAACTTCGTCTCTTACGCTGCCGGTGCCGTCCGTCTGTCTGCTCTCTCCCGCGTTCGCGTCATCCACGTCGCTACCCACGACTCGATCGGTCTGGGTGAGGACGGTCCTACTCACCAGCCTATTGAGACCCTGGCTCACTTCCGTGCTCTCCCCAACTGCATGGTCTGGCGTCCCGCTGACGGCAACGAGACCAGCGCTGCCTACTACTCTGCCCTCACCTCCAAGCACACCCCCAGCATTCTGGCCCTTACCCGCCAGAACCTGCCCCAGCTTGAGAACTCCAGCATTGAGGCTGCTCTGAAGGGTGCCTACGTCGCCATCGAGGCCCCCAACGCTGCCGTCACCATCATCTCTACCGGTTCCGAGGTCAGCATCGCCATCGAGGCTGCCACTTACCTCAAGGAGAAGCACAACGTTGTTGCCCGTGTCGTCTCCGTTCCTTGCTTCGAGGTCTTCGATGCCCAGGACAAGGAGTACAAGCTCAAGGTCCTCCCCGACGGCATCCCCGTCCTCTCCGTCGAGGCTGCCTCCACCATGGGCTGGGAGCGTTACGCTCACGAGCAGTTCGGTCTCAACCGCTTCGGTGCCTCCGGCCCTTACAAGCAGGTCTACGAGGTACGTTATCTGTTCCAATTCCTATCATATCTTGTTAAATTGATGCTAACTTTGCTGTCCTACAGAAATTCGAGTTCACCCCTGCCGGTATCAGCAAGCGCGCCCTCGCTACCATCGACTTCTACAAGGGCCACACCGTGCGCTCTCCCATCAACCGTGCTTTCCAGCAGATTCTGTAGATGTCCTTTGTTAGCGTGATGATGCCTGTTATGTTTCGTTTTAATGAATCTATGGGACGATGTTGATCTCTGGGAGCAAAATATCCAGGGAGAAGTCCTATGCTTTGATGATTTCGTTTGAAAATTCCCTTTTGGTAGATTTAGAGGGACGAGGCCAAAAATGAAGAATACCATGTTTATGTTCAAGTTCAGTTGATCCTAAGCGTAATATGTAACGGTTCAAAGTAAAAAAAGACTTAGATGACAAATAGTGTTACGTCTATTAAAGAGGATCGGAAGACAAGCACGCTACTTTATACGAAAATACTTTTTATCCTTTATTGTTGTATGCCACGGACAATGCTGCCCGTCTCTGTAGAACACGAGTAGGACATCATCACAAAGGAGAGGAAATGTAATAAAGACAAAGAAGAACAAAGAGAAATATCTCTTGTTGTATTCATCATCATCAAATCATCATCGATTATCCGCCACGATGGCGCCTCTAGATGGGAAACAGCGTCCGCCCCAAACAGATTTCATTCAAAAGGGTGCGAAGGACCAATATCAATCTAGTTGTTCAAGGCCTTACGGGCAAAGTTGGGGAGAACGAAGCTAGCCCGGTGGATATCCTGGTTGTAGTAGCGGCAGAGACGCTCCTCCTCCTCGCGAGTCCACTTGCGGACGGGCTCACGCACGTTGCGGTCCGCATCCTTGCAGCAGACCATGAAGCCAATCTGGCCGGAGGGGTAGGTGGGGATGGTGGTGTAGGCGTATTCGGCGACGGGGAAGACCTCATTGCAGGCCTTCTTGAGGTCGGTGATCAGAGAAAGGTGCAACCACTGGTTCTCGGCTGCACGTGTGAAAATGCTAACCCAAACCGATTCCCGGGGGAGTCGGGTGGTTTGGGGCGTAATCTAATTAGTTTCATGCTCTTCTGATTCATTCAAGGGTGGTCAACATGAAAAAGGGGAGGGGGGGGGGCAGGGAGAAATTGCGGGAAAAGGGTAGTACAAAAGAAAGAAAAAAAAAAGAAAGAAAGAAAGGAGAAATTTCGGGTAGCCACAGGAAGAAGACAGGGGGAAGGAAAGGCGACGAACAACCTTGTGTGGTGATGACACCTCCCTCACGGAGCGCATCGCTCAGGAGCTCAAAGTAGGGCTTCTGGAAGAGGCTCTCGGCAGGACCCTCAGGGTCGGAGCTGTCAGTGATGATGACGTCGAACTCGTTCTTGTGGTTCTTGAGGAACTCGAAGCCATCGCCGACGTGGGTCTTGACGTTAGGGTGCTGGAAGCCGATGCTCATGCCGGGGAGGTACTTCTTAGAGAGCCGGATAACAGCCTAGTAAACCAAAATTAGTTCAAGGTTACCCGGAAATGAATCCAGGGCTGTATACCTCATCGATATCGCACAGGATGGCCTCCTCGACGGTCTCGTGCTTGACAACCTCACGGAGGACACCGCCATCTCCACCACCGATGACCAGGACCTTCTTGGGGTTGGGGTGAGAGTTCATGGCCAGGTGGGTGATCATCTCCTGGTAGCTGTATTTAATTAGCCGATGTGCTTCGCAACTCGTGGGGTAAAGTTTGGACCAAGGCGACGTACGAGAACTCATCCCGCTCAGTGCACTGGATGACATTGTCCAGGACGAGGACAGTGCCGTAGTCGCTGCTCTCGAAGATGAGGACGTCCTGGTACTTGGACTTCTCGTGGTGCAGGATCTGGTTGACCTTGAGGCTCATGGCCTGACCAGGCCACATGTCGGACCGCTCGGAGAACCAGCCATCTGGGCAGGAAAAGTGATGTTAGCGAAGGCATGCCAAACATTAAAAGGGATCACAATGGCTATGCGACGCAATTGAAGCGCTCATTCGATTCAATCCGAGATTTGATCACCGTCAAGGGGGTTGTTTAAGCCATTGAGACGTGCAGATTGGTGGGTGATGAGGCGGGGTATCTTTTTGATTGATGGAGGGGCAGATCATGAAGAAAGATACGTACCCTTAATAGTGGGGTGAGTGATCTCGGACATGGTGATGGAATGGGAGAAGTGCGAACGAAAAAGAGTATGAGAAGCACGAGAAGGTAAACGTCGAGAGAGAGAAGAAGAGAAGGAGGAGAAGAGGAGAGAAGAAAGAGAAAGCGAAGAAGATGCGCGTGCCAAGTGGGGGTTCATCGATATGCGTATTTTGGGTATCGACCGTGGTGTAAAAGTAGTGTATTGGGGTTACATCCGTAATTTTGAGAAATTTTTCCCTCTCTTTTTCCCGTTTTGGGGTGGGGATTTAGGCTCTGTTTACAGAAAGTACTCTCACCCCCCATAGAAGTCTTTTTCTTTGAGAAATAGACAAGGTAATTGATGGGTCAATTGAGCGACCGCGTCCATTCAGAAAGCACACTAGCCCTTTCCCAAGGACTCAATTGAGCGTAGTCATTGGTTCATCCTAAGAATGAAGTAAGAACAAACTGTTAGCGGTCCCATCCTATCTTACCCTAAAAGGGAAAAACTATCGCCGGAAATGATCCCCAGACACTACTACATCAAGAGATTGTATACAAGGAACAAGAACAGAAAAAATGGTTAAGAACGAGACCATCTCCTAGCAAGAACAAGTTGAAGATGGTCAGGTATACTAATCTAGAATCTTGGAAGATCAAACACAGCTACCACTAGTAGTACAACTACCATATCATCCACGTATCTCCCCACTTCTTAAAGCAAAGGAGTTGATGAGTTGACTTCCAGATCAATATAGGAAAACAATGCCAGCAAATTAAAACTGGTAACTCTGACAGTAATGTCAGTCTAATATACACTTTGAGGAACAACTTCCAGTTCCAACCGTTAGCCATATAGCTTCTAAACAAGGATGTTTAGTTCCTGCATACTGACCCTGGGGTATATCCATCTATCTATCCACTGATATAGCCTTATCTGTCTAGATTATAAGTATACATACACCCCATGAGCACGGACAAGGAGTTGCTTACCTTATATTTATAATATTTTCTTTGACAATTGACATTGACATTGCTTAAGCATGTTCCCTACCTGATATCATCATGCACCAAAAAGCCACCGAAACGTGACAAACATCTCAACCTCTCAATGTGCATGTATTTTCTTGGTAATCTGCGTGAATGTAGCCCATCTATTTACTGTCAGTGTAACCCCAGAAACGTATTTACTACCCCAGCTCAATCACACCAAGAGCCTTATCCCCATAAAAACACACTCGGCCACCCTTCTAAAACACACGCACTCACACCTATGTTCATCAAAGAGTACACTTTTTTCTACAAAAGCTACGCACAAGGTTACAAAATGAGTAGTTTGTCAACAGACTCGTCAACCATTCTAGCAGATCAACATGCATCTGAAGTTCTTCGGCTATTCCGCGCAAAACATGAAGCTTTCTACATAAATGGTGTGGAAAGTGCAGTCCGGCATTTAGCCTCTCAAACGGGTACGTACGTCCCACAGGGAAGAGTATAGATGCTCACTAATAAGAGATATCCAAAGATATGACCCACTTCAGCCAGACCGCAGTCGAGCTCCTAGTCACCTTAATATCACTGCCAGAATCCATCAAGCTTAACGTCAGAGAAAGCCTCGTGGCATGGTTGACAGCCATTGTAGAGGAAAGATGCTCACCCACTACAGTGGCGCCGTTCCTCGAAATCCTGGTTGGGGCAAAGAAGGTCAGAAACAAGGGCGTCGACAGTTTTGACATCTGGAAGGCAGTGAACACATACTTTGGGAATAGCAATACCAAGATCATCTTCCCCTTCCTGTCACTCCCCTTTGAACTCCGCCTGATTATCTACGACAACTACTTCGAGCTCGAGACAACCAACGCCAGCAAAAAGCTGATAGATCATGTAGTTCCCCGTGGCGAAAACAGACTTTCTCTAATGAGTGTCAACCATCAGATCTATTTCGAAGCTCGCAAGGTTCTCTATACGAACTTCGCGTTCGGGCTGAAGAGCGTGCCTCATCTGCGACAGTTCTTTAACAGTCTTAGAGGCTATAGCTACCAGATTATCCGCAAGTTGCAGGTTGAAGATATTTCCGCTGAGCATGTGAATACACTTGCGCAAGTACTATCTGGCCATGGGTTGTCGGGCGTCCGATCTCTGAAGCTGATAGCAACGTCGCGTTATATGGGTCCAGCGTCTCTGAGGGCCCAAGTCGGAAGATCTAGGAAACGTCCAGTATACCCAGTATTTAAAAAGAAGTTGCGTATAGCGGTGGACAAGTTGTTTTATCGCAGTGGCGTTTCTGTTCCTAAGCCGCCAACACTTATCTTGGTTGATTTCCTTAAGGATCCGAGATGGGATGTCGGATTTCCTAAGTTTTGGGCAGTCACGGTTACTTGGAAGGAGTAGTCGGTAGCACTGGAGTGATATGTTGAGAGTCAGTAGGTTTGTCCTACATCTTGTTGGCATAGCAGCAATAGGTGTTTTGAGGGTAGGTTATTTGGCTGGTCAAGAATGACAATGTCCCTTGTGAAAGCAATTTCATTACTTCTTGTCGTAATCTGACAGCCTCGTATGGAATGAAGAAAAAAAGTATATTATTCAATAGTGTGTTGGCACAACTTACGTCTAACGCTGACCAAAAATCACGATCTAGCAATCAATGCCTGATTCAACTAACACTATTTTCATATAGCAGAAGAACCAGTAACTGGTAAACCAAGATAGGGACGACAATCATCTCAACTTGTCTAGATTTCCCTTTTTCCACATCTCATCATCCATCCCCGCCAGCGCGGTCACCGTTTGTTGTTGAACCTGATTGAGCTGTTCGGACGGCGTCACTTTCATATGCTTATGCACAGGACCAAAAACCAACGCTAAAAGACCTTCGAGAAGTATGATGGCGCTAAGACTAGATGAGCTTAGCAAAGCATCAAATATGGCTGTGACCGCGCCAGGATAATTATATGCATTGATTGTTCCCAGAACTCTGGCATCCCCTGCTTTGACCGGGAACGGCGTTCTGCCGGAGCACTTTCGTGAATCAAGTGCCATAAAGGAGGGGCCTGTCAAGCTGCTTATCAATACATCGATATGCTCACGCTCCTCATATCTGAGGCGAATGAGCGCTTCTGCCGCAGCCCATCAAATGAAGGGACGCGCATCAGTCTAGTAGCTGCGTAAACGAGAGACCAATTTCCTCCGGTCGAGCATCATCAAAGCGCCAATTTAACAAGTCGAGTGAGGCAATGGCACTGGCAAGAACTATAATTTCTTTCACCTGCTCAAGGACCCGTTTCAAGACACTAACACTGTCATGATATCCTTCGCCAGGAGCTTCCCAGGAAACCACGCAAGCGCATAGGCAGCCCCAGGACCTTTAATAGACATTGTAACGCTCAAGACAAGTCTCAGCTTCGTACGCTGCAAGCTCATCCTTAGAGCGCCTACGATACTTTTCGATCATCCTATTGCGGAAATCGATGCACGAGGCTCTTTCCTCGTGATTCTTTGCCCGATTGACGAAACTTCTATACGACTGGTGATTTCCACTTCAAACTCCGGAGCCTGTTTCTTCTCCGTGGATTCCTGCCATTTAGTAGGAACGTATTCGCATAAAAGTGTAACAGGTGGTCAATTAAAAAGACCCGGTCAGGGGTGGACGGGGAGCCAAGAATTTTCAATAAATAAGGAACTGCTAGGCAGTGGCTACATAACGATCACCTTGATGGAATATGTTGCCGCAGAAGGATAGCTGGGCATCCTCTCATTGGACGGAGGGAGCCCCAATCGATGGAATCGTGAAGGCCGAGGGGACTGGTTTCTGCCATTCTGATGTATCTCTAAGGACTAGCAGAGCATTTAATACTTCAATTGCGAGAGTCATCATCTGCGGACGAACATGTGGTTAGATAAGAGGTTGAGGAAAGACAACAGGTAGTGTCTCAGTTCTACCTAAAAGTCACATCGTGCCCAACAGTAGGCTTGCTTTTCATCATTTCCTCTGACTTTTGAAGCTGCTCGTATGTAGTGATTGACAACCATTCAATGTGAAGGGGTGGTCGGCATACTCCCTAAACATCCAATCACAGAATAATATTGGACCTTTCGCAGGACCGGAATCCCCAGCTCATCATACAGACAGAATTGATATCTTTTTGGTTATAATTCTCACTGAACCAGCCTGTATTTAATTATGCATGAAACCTTGTTTTTGTTAAAAAAGAGCTTTCATTGTGAAGCTAGTACGGAGTAGCGGTATACTACGCAGTATACTCCGTACACACGTTCAAAGTTGTAATCCTATGCCCAGGTGATATCGACCGCCTTCCTATATCAGCCTAAGCAAAGCGGTCCTGTTTGCAGTCTGGGTGAATTGGCCAATCATAACCTGTGGATCCTATGCCAAATTCAAGTCATTTGATTGGAGCTTCTCCCAAATCCAATGTCAACCTGCCCACATAGAAACATCTTATCGAGCTACCAGACGGTAAATAACTCGTTTTTTGATTTCTCGTTACTAGTGTGAGCATAAATATAGCATTCTTATCTGATTTGAGGCGCGAGGAGCAGATCCACGACACCGAATTATAGTCGCAGGAGTCATACGCATCGTAGCATAATAGAACCCAAGAAGCATGGATCGGACAATGGAACACGCATCGCATTCGATTGCTTCTAGTTACTGTACATTGCAATCCCACTCCTTTATCCTCCAGTTTGAAATCATATCACCGGTTTATATCACCATTTACTCGTCACCACCCTCAGCAAGGCGGCCAGGCTTGGAGTTGAGGTAGTGGTTCCTAAACGTTGTAAGTTAGTCATTAATTTACCCACATTCGATGGCCGACTGTGAATTGACAGGGGTATCAGCACGTACCTCTCAATAGCCCAGTCCATGGCGGCGTAGGCGATGATGAAGGGAGGAGCGACGTAGAGAACCTGGTGTCTGAATCTCCGGAAGGTGTTGAAGAAAGCAGCGTGGGCGGTACCGGCCAAGGGGCGCTGACGGTTGGGAGACAGAGAGTAAGAGGCGATGCGCTGGGGGGTAGGGCAACCTAAAAAAGGATAAGGGTATCAGTATCGGTGTCGGATGAAGATGCCATCTCGCGTCTCTCTGCTGGCAAGTCCGCAATCATTGGAATTCATATTTTGAATTTTCGAGATTTGTGTACTAAAAGGCGTCCAATTGATCGTGCTTGTGCTCTTCGAGATGGCGCGAAATTTCTCACTGAATGCGAGGGCTATGGGACCTACCGAAATCACCCCAGGTACCGAGGAAACTGTTCATATCCTATAGTTAGCCACTTCTATCTTCATTGTACCCCACATGGCATCAGATAAAGAGTCATCCTGGCGTGAATTGCAAAGCACAGGCCGGCGTAGTTGAACCGCACCCGTCCGGAAGACCCAGGGAACGAAAGCCCACCACAGCACCAAATGCAGGGATTACTTACACTCCGTTCTTAGGATCCAAGTGGCCACCCATTTTGAAAAATTGCGTCTGAAATTAAACGATTGGAAATGCGGAGAAGGTGGAACGGACGAGACTAAGAGCAAAGAGAAAGACGAGGTTCGAGTTCGGGCCAAAACGGCGAAGTTGGGAAGATGAGGTTTCCGTCCGGCACTAGTCCGCATCGGGACAGCATGCGAAAAGCCCGACATCATCAAGTTGATCCAACCCTTTGAAGCTCCTCATCGACTAATCATTAGTGAACAATCCCCCTCTCACCATGGCGGCAAACGGTCTCTACAACATCTACCGTCTGGCTCTTCCCGTCGCCACGGGTGCCCTGATCTTCAACAACTCTATTTACGACGTTCGTGGTGGTTCCCGCGCTGTCATCTTCGACCGGTTGTCTGGTGTGCAGGAGAAGGTCGTCAACGAAGGCACCCATTTCCTTATCCCCTGGCTGCAGAAGGCGATCGTCTACGATGTTCGGACTAAGCCCCGTAACATCTCCACCACCACCGGAAGTAAGGACTTGCAGATGGTCAGCTTGACACTGCGTGTTCTCCACCGTCCAGAGGTCCCGAAGCTGCCGGCCATCTACCAGGTAGGACACATATGCCCAAGTGATTGATATGATTCTTGGCCGGTATTGATTGCTCTTCAGTCTTACGGTACCGACTACGATGAGCGTGTTCTCCCCTCCATCGGTAACGAAGTCCTCAAAGCCATCGTCGCCCAGTTCGACGCCGCCGAGCTCATTACCCAGCGTGAAGCTGTCTCGAACCGTATCCGCACAGACCTCATGAAGCGTGCAGCACAGTTCAATATTGCCCTGGAGGACGTCTCGATTACACACATGACCTTCGGAAAGGAATTTACCCGCGCCGTAGAGCAGAAGCAGATCGCCCAACAGGACGCCGAACGGGCCCGTTTCATCGTCGAAAGAGCCGAGCAGGAACGTCAGGCCAACGTTATCCGTGCGGAGGGTGAAGCCGAGAGTGCTGATATTATCAGCAAAGCCGTCGCCAAAGCCGGTAGCGGTCTTATCGAGATCCGTCGTATTGACGCCAGCAAGGAAATTGCACACACCCTATCGACCAACCCGAATGTCACATATCTCCCTGGAAATGATGGCAAGGAAGGTGGTAAGAACACCAGCCTCCTTCTGGGGCTGAGGAGCTAAACGCGGTGTCCGGGTGTCGTTAATTTTCCGATATATTTTTCCTTCCACTCTCGCCTGAATTGATGTTGTATTTTTTGAACCTTTTCAACTGGACGGATCTATCTGGGCGTGCATGATCTCCCTCGGCGAATGATTTTGTATGGCTGGCTTCACTTTTCATTTTACTCTTTACCCATTTCGACCAACTTGTAGCAATAGCATATCCATTCCTCTCTACATATACTCCAAGTTACTTGGACGGGGCAGCTTGCATTAGATGACGGTAATGGTATCATTCTGTGAATCAAGCAATCCTAATATCACAATAACCTATCGTCTATTGCTATTACCTCAAATGTTCATACAACCCCTCCACTAATTAGCCAACCTCCGATAAATATGACCCTGATACCGCATATCCTCCAATCCAGCCCCTTCACCAACATCGTACCCCAGCCTAGCCGCATCTCTCCTCCACCACCGTGAATCCTGCGAATAGATCCGTTCCCATTTTCCCTCCGCAACAGAAAGAAGCGTATGATCCAAGAGGAACTTCATAGGATACTGGCGTTCCTGTACAGTGGCAGACGCAGCACCTTCCTGCGCTTTGCCCTTGCCGAGCTTCAGCGTAGAATAGCTTCCCGGGCTATCCACCACAAGAAGCAGAGTGCCCGGTCGTACGAGGTCCGTCGTGCGGAGCAAGAAAGCAGTGGCTTTCGCCATAGACGTAGAGAAGAGTTCATTCAACGTGAACATGAGCGTCACCATGACAGTAGCACTGCCCTTATCTGTATTCTCAAGATGGAGAAGATCCTTAAGCTGCTCTTCTGAGATAGAAAGAACATCCGAGCGTCTGAACCTAACCGCGAAGCCAGAGGCATCCTCACCCTCCTTCCCACCATCGCCACCACCTTTTCCAAGATTCAACAAAGGCGCCGGATGGGACCTCGACCCCATCACAGCCGGGGACCGGATAGTATAAGACAATCGATCAACAACGCTCGACCAGTCCGCAATATCAACAGCCGTCACCGAGAGAGCAGGATGACTTATCGATTTTGGCACAGAGCCCTGATCAGCAGCAGCGGCAGTATGATCACCCCCATCCAAGGAAACATCAGCAACACCAGCAGAAACAGCCTCCCCCCTCTCAACCTCATCCACTAAATCCCTCCAAGCAGCCGCCAGAGCAACGATCTCGGCGCCCGCACCACCTCCAATACAAACAACATGATTCGACCCAGTAGAAGACACCAACCCACCGTCCTGCTGCATCAGAACCTTCAACAAAGACTTGAAAACCCCCGCATACCCCAATGCCCTAGATGCGCTCCACCGCAACGCATAAGCCCTCAGTAGATCCTCATTTGCATCGGTAAATGCAGAGTCAAAGTCCCGATTGTAAAGATGAGATTTGATAGTCTGGATCAGCGTCTTGATATCCAACTGTCGAGGCTCTGGGGTAGTGGTAACATCTCCACTCTCATTTTTCCCGACATTTGCATTCCCACCATACACATCATTCAGCAAAGCCGATCTAAACACATTCAAAAGTAACTGCTGCAGCGTGACCGGAATAGTAGCCGAGAGATCGATCTGGTTGGTCTCAGATTCCGTCTGCGGTTTAGCCTGTCGTCGAGGGGCCTGCGCGGACTTCTTTTTCTCCTTCTTATTGTCGCGGGTGTGCTGTCCTTGAGAGGACTTTTTGGGCATGGTTGAGCGCGGTGGTCCCATTGTGTCTTTTTCTTATGTCTCTCCTTTTATTTCAATGTCTTGATGTAGGGACCGTTGATGGTGCTGCTGGAGAGATTATATTTTTTGGGTTCGGCTGTGGGGCACCGATAAAGATTTATATAAAAGTGGTGGTGAGAGTCGCGGAAGACTTTTGGGGACAATGTATGAAAATTTAGATTATCTCATTTTCTTTCTGGTATTAGAGAGATTTGATTTAGATGGACCGTCTTGACTTGTTGACTGTACTTTTGGTTCAGTGGTGCTGTTCAGTCACCTTTCTATTACTTGTGCCTGAGATGTAAGGCAACAACAAATTTGAGCTGCAACTCTTGAGTGATCGAATCTAGTAGTTGTTTTGATTGAACAGGCAGTTTCTCTTCACCACCCCAGAATGTCAGAATGGCATGCCCGCTGGAATGATAGGCTAGATCAAACCAGCGGTGCTTTTACATTTGAGACCAATCCTAAGATCTCTATAATGAACGATACTTTGTACCATGCAGTCAAATGCTGGAAATAGCACATAGTAGTATTGACAGAGAGAGTGTAGATTTGATACTCTATTCGTAGCTTCCAGCTCGTAGACTCGGATGCCAATAATCAGAAAGCCTCACAAAATATTGACCGGCGCCTCCAACGGCTAGCCGTTCAAATAAAAAAGATGGAAAGAAAAGATCCCATATTAACATGGCCAAGGGCGTGAATACCACATGGGTCAAACAAAAGACTAGAAGGCAAAGTGCACATCATATGACCGCCAAAATGATTCAGAAGAGGCAAGAAAGAAAAGAAGGGGAAAAAAAAAGGCTCTGAACGATAAACGAAAGACAATTAAGAGAGCGATATGTCCATAAACTGTAACCGGACATTAATGAAAGACGAGAAATGATGTAAAGAGAGTATTGGACTCTTACGCTTGTGAACACATATCAAAAGAGATTCGTCAGTTAGCCCAACGGAACAAGTGGGCAGACTGGAGAAAATAGAAAAAAAGATAAAAATAAAAGGGCGAGGCCAACAGAAACAATAAACGATCTTCCAAAGACCACGTCGAGGGAATCATATCAGAATAACTATGTACAAGAAGCGGATTCCTTTGTAGGATCGAGGTTTTGGTCATGACAGCCTTTCTTCCGGGACTGCACTCTCATTCAGTTTGTCCTTGTCCTTTGTCTTCCAAAAGTGCATCAATCGGCTGATCCGGTGGCTCTTCTTTTTTGCTTTGTCCGGTTCATCGATCGGCGGCTTTTCCTCATAACTTAGCTTACTCCTTTCCGCATGAGACCCCACAACCAACTTGGAAAGGCTGGCCAGACTTGATCGCTTCGAACTATTGGTCTGGCTACTGCGCCTGTGAACGGCCGCAGAAAATGACGCAGAGCGATCTGTAGACAGCCGAGGCCGCGGAAAGAAGGTCGCCGAGAATCGGTTCAGAGGGTTCGTCGTTGTCGATGCACTGCTAGTCAACGAAGGCACATCTTCAACAGATGCATGGGGAAAGTCCATAGAAGGGTTGTAAGAAGGACTCGAAAAATTACGGTCAGTGGTGGAGGACGTTGTGATCGAGCGAGGGGCATCAGAGGAAGAGCCAGTGAAGTCAGGAGATGGAAAGGAGGAGTTAGACAAAGAACTGCCACCCTGAAGAGAGAAAGGAGGTATATTTGGGGTGAGTTCAATGGGTGAAGTGGAAGGCCTATTGTCAGCCGGTAGAAATCGTGGAGAAACATCGGGACTAGGAGGGACTCCCAGTCTGCGTTGCCAAAGCTCCTGTTTGATTATCTCCGCTGGTCCTGGGCTCTTCGGCCGAATGCTGAAAGGATTTTTTGCATTATGAAGCTGGCCAATTGCACACTGTTGTGCTACGAGACTGCTGCGACCCTGATATGTAGAGGTAGTGTTAGGCTCCGACGGCTCAGGCAGCCCGTCTTTCTGAATGCCGAGACCCGACTGCTGTGTATTAACTTCGCTCGTGTGTTCCCGAGTGAGAGTGTCCGAGCTAACTTTACTACCCTCTGATTGGAGGTCGAAACTTTCAGCACCGGAGGAAACAGCCTGCGCCGCAATATTTTCATCGCTGTGCTTGGGAGATTCACTGGTGGCTGCCAGAAAAGCGTCTTCCTCTTCTTCGTAGAACACATCGGGGTTTTCCAGGGACGCATTATTCGCGAGACGCGCCTGGTTGAGGAAGCTACGGTCAAAAGGAGGCATTTCCGGGGCACTTTCTGCACGTCGGTGATAGCGCATTTCTGGCCCGACAAATTCACCTCGTCGTCCGCCACTATACATCCGTTTCGTCGCTGCTGAGAAGCCGCTCTCAGGGACACAGCGGGATCGCCCATCAGGAGTATTGAAAGGTCCCAGAGCTGCATCCAGATCGATGATAGGGCTGAGAGCATCATTTTGTGTAACTTGCTCATAGAAGCTTCGTGGCTTCCACGAGCTTTCCAGGCTGATGTGAGGTTCGACTTCAGATGTGGGTTCATGCGATCTTGGCGCAGCGGGGTTAGTAGGGGTCCGAATGATGACGATATCCTCATCATCGTCAAAGTTCACGTCCACTGCTGACCCGAGATCTGAATTGGTTCTCTTAATCGCTGGAGTTGTAACTTCGGACTGATTCGTGTCGTCCTTCGTCTCATCTTTCTTTGATTGATGGCGCTTCCCCTTTCCTCGGGTAAGAATGGCCCCGGCCCAAGAACGTACTTTCTTCTGTCTTTTCTTATTCTTCGACTTTCTCTTCGAGGAAGATGTAGACTCAAACGACCCACGGGCGTCCTCGGTGGATGCATATGAATCACCATCGTCGGAAGAAGAGCGTCTTGAGGATGTTGTCCAGCGACTGTCGTCGCCATGATGTCTCCTCAATGCGGCGTCAATAATCCCGGAAGATATACTTTTGCGAAAACGAGAGTGTCCTGTGGCAGAAAGAGGCCGCTTCATCCGAGATGCATCATCGGTTCCACTGATCGTGTTTGGATCGAGCATCAGAGATGCATCCGCGGTTCTCGGTCTCGGCTTCTGAGTTCGATCCGCAGATGATGACAGCTCCCTTGTAGATGGACCAGGCTTTCCGCTATTTCTAGCTGTATCCTCCGGTCGTACTGTGCTTTCAGAATCTTTCGAAATTTCGGAAATCGGCCGCTCGTCGGTGAGACGGTCGCTTGCTGTTTCAAGCTGGACAGCGGGTAGGGATTCATCATTAATCATAATCTGGGGAGATGCGGGCGGAGTAAATCGACCTAAAGTAGTTGCTGAATAGCATGTGGGTCTAAGAGCCTCGTCAGATGCACCAAGATCACGCTTTGCGCCTGTCGAGAACAGTGGCGCGCTTCCGACAGTGGGCTTCAAATCGAGCGTATTTGATATAGCGGTTAGATCAACACTGGATATGGCCGCCGAGCGCCGATGGGCATGGCGACGCTTTCCAGGACCACCCGCACTGAAGCCCGGCCCAGGAACGGGTAGCTTAGTCGGTGTTGTATTTGGGTTTATCTCATTGCCGCGACTCGTCTCCACTGGCCCAGGGCTGACAAGTTGCTCCCCGCCGACGAACTCGCTACATCGGCGACGATGCCCGCCTGCTCGATTCACAGGGAGGTTCGGCATCGAGGGTTGCGATGAATGTGCGGATCCCGGGTTAAAAGAAAAGGCGGGCAGGGGCGGAGGCCCGCTAGATTGGGCTGTCGGAGTCTGAGTTGCATCTGGTTCCCGCGCTGGGAAGATAAACGGTGGGTTTGGAAGTGGTGTGGACATTGTCAGATTGCGGCGGCTGTGTCTGCCGGGGAACTGATCCGCAGAGTCGAGATACTGGGAAAAAGCTGACGTAGTCTGCGGCTGCAGAGGTAGAGAGATCGATGCCATTGTCGACCCTGATAACGTCTAAAGCCTGATTGCGAAATTACCGCGAGCCAACAACTGTCCGGTTAACCCCGTAGTAAGTGATCCAGACGCACAGATACCTCCAGACCAATATGACTTCCCTACGACCAATGGAAAGCCCGATGTTGTCTGGAGGCCTTCAATTTCCCATTGGCACCATTGATTATGCTGCACCCAAGCCACGCAACCTTGTATAACCAAGTGTCGAAACTCTATAACGTCAAACGGAGGAGGACCGGAGAAACGACGCTGCGTAAATCGACTACACCGAGGACGTTTAACAATCGAGCGATTCTGAAATGGACTGATGCGGAGGAAATGTGCTAAAACCGAGAATCAAGGTCTGTTTGTTGCGCCGGCTACGAAGGATAATACTGTAAGGAGCGGACGGCCCCGGAAAGGCCACGGAATTTGGGACGGAGTGTCGGAAGCGGAGGGAAACGAGGGAAAGAGTGTGAAAGAAGTAAAATAATAAAGATGAACAAAATAGTCAAGTAAGAGCGAGAGAAAGAACGGTAGAGAAGGGGGTAGAGGAGGTAAGAGGAGAAGGGGGGGAACGAGGAGAAAGAGGATCAACCTGGAAAAAGGAAAATGAAGTTGAAGGAAGGAGAAAGAGGAGTGAATGGGATGCTGAGATTAGTACCTAGTGTTAAAGGTGGAAAAGGCGCTGGCGTGCAGTGGAGAGGAGGAGAGACGGATGGCCGCAGGGGATGATTGGTTGGGAGAGCGGAGGGGCCGAGTCCGTACCATTCAATTACGGGTTATATTACGGGCGATGATTTTACTATTGGTGGTGCCCTCCTTTAGCCGCTCCATCCGATCGCCAGTCTGTCGTGTGGAGGGACGGGTGAACGAACTATCCAACACTCTTAACCCGAATATTATCGGTTCTCGTACCTGACTATGCACCGTAATATAGGTGCTGCGTGTAGAATGGTGGAAAGTGGGAAGTACAGTATAGCGATGTATATCGTCAGAATATCCCTGGCCTGATAGGTATCGTACATGCTACCTACTGGTCCTGAGGTAGATTATAATTACCAGGTTCTATGCCCAATTGGGGTCCCTCGGATGGATGCAGCCTTTGTTGTGTTGTTTTATTTGTTGTCATTGTTCCTGGACAAGAAAATAGTTCTCGGACAGTTGGCAAAACAGTCTTGCAGAAAAGAAAAATAAAATAAAATAATGACTAACAGGTGTACTTTCTATCTCATTGTTGCT